GACAACTGGATGCAAAGGTACCTGTGTTTGAAATTGCTCTGGGAAACGTGATTGTCTCTGGTAAAGCAGGTGATGGGCCACTGTTTTGCCAGTCTGGTTTGCCCTGGGAATGAGGATGGATTTAAGGAACAAAGACACCAACTTTAAAGAATGAATGTCTAAGTTGACTCTAGTGCAAAACAGCAAAGAATTACAGAAGCAGCAGTGGCTTATGAAAGGATACACTTGGCAATGCATCTGATCACTACTACAGAGAAAGGTTATAGTGATCAAGTAATGAAGTGTCCCCTTCCCACACACGTCTGTCAGATTTAGCTTCTAGAGCTGAAGGCATGAAGTAATTAAGCAATGTGAAGCTACTGGTCTCCTAGAGAGCACATCATTATCAGAATTGTCATACAGGTATAATTTTTATGACTGTGATACTGAAAAGACCTTCCCAGGGGGTATTTTCTGAGGCTTGATTGGATTGTGTATTTGGCCTCTGAAGCAGGGAGTTGCTCTGGCATGAAGAACAGACTTCTAAGAAGTCCAAGGGTGATAAGACCCACATAATACTTCCAAATACATCTTTTGATTGCTGTCAAATAATTTAGACTGCAAAACAATGGCTTGCTCCCCAGGCTGAAATGGAAATGGTGAGTGAGTCTGTGGCCAGTGATGCTCTTCTTGAAACTGAAAGGAGATTTGATAACCCTAATTCTCTACTGAAAGTAATATCCATATTGTGCTTCTGTTCTTGTTAACCAGCTGAAATCCATCTGCATCAGGGCTCACTGCATTAATTGCCCTGATGAACACTCTAATTGCAAGTGTCCATTCAAGCACTGTTGCATTTAGTGTAATATTTGGAGAGGCAATTGCTTGTTACTCACATAACTTGTGAGCATTGCTTTCTTTGAGCTAGATTGACTTTATATAAATAACTTTTTTTTTTTTTTTTTTTTTTTTTTTTTTTTTTTTTTTTTTTTTTTTATTAGTGAAGCTCCCTGATTTGAAAGGCCTTCTGAAAGAGATTTCTAGCAAAATCAAATGAACGCAGCTGAAATCCAAGAGCAGCTGCCTGAGCAGGGTAAGCCCTCTTTAAATCCATTCTCTGGCTTGAATAGGGTCTATAAGCATTTGTAATGCCAGATGGGTGTGTCTCTGGAAGGAGGGTTAATATTCTTTACTGATGCTTGTATTCATATTGTCTAATACTGGAAAAGGAATATGAGCCAAGTTCTCTTCCTCGTTTCTGTTTCTTAAAGCCCATCCAGTCCCACCCCCTGCTGTGGGCAGGGACACCTTCCCCCAGCCCAGGTGGCTCCAAGCCCCGTCCAACCTGGCCTTGGACACTTCCAGGGACCCAGGGGCAGCCACAGCTTCTCTGGGCAACCTGTACCAGGGCCTGCCCACCCTCCCGGGGAAGATTGGCCTGTACAGGTGCTTTGCCTGCAGGTGTTTCCTTTGCTGTCCCTTCTTTCGTGTCTCTGCTACTCCCCCAGGGCACTGTGTGCTGGATGGGGGCTGCAATGAGCTCTTGGAGCCCGAGTGTTGCACAAGGCATCCAGTTATCAGAGCTGCTGTCAGGAGGGTGAAAGCAAAGCACCGAGGTGGGCTGGGGGCTCTGCTCTGACATTCTTTCTTTTGCTCACACAGGTAGCAGTTGCAAGGAGTGATTTCTCGGAGCTGGCGGTGACCACCAAGCAGGCGGTGACTGATCCCCCAGAGTGGCAGTGTCTCAGCAGGAGTCACTACGCTTTTCTTGCTATTTTTACTTTTTTTTTTGCCAAGACAGCCCTTTGTGCTTGTTGCAAGGTGATGATAAAGCATGGGATGACTGTCCATGTGCTTGCAGGGCTCCCATGTTACCCAAACTCTCCTTTTTCTCATCCTCCCCCAAGTCCAGGGGCAGCAATTAGTCCTTGTCAGCTGCTGTTACAAAGCACTCCTAATTCCCAGAGTTCTGCTGCTATTGCCAAAATCCCTTTGCTTTTCCATTTCACTCAGAGGGGCCTGGTTTTGGGTTTCCTTTAGCCAC